GCTCTTGGATTTGCATCCATATCTCCAGATGTTAGACCAATCAGGTTGGGACGCTGTGTCTGTGTTCTTGAAAAGAACTGTCTATACTGTGATCTACCAGAGCTGGTAATACTAGGAGCTTCTGGGTTATAACCATCAGGTTCATAAGTATCTGGGACCAGAGGGGTGGGGCTGGAGACTGAGGTATGATACCCAATGGAGGATCCCATGAGGTTTCAAGGTGGCACCAAACGAGCAGCCAACAGAGGAGGCGGTGTCCCCAACTGAAGTCGCTCAGATGCAGCAGCACCATGTTCACGAGAGTACATGGGCTGTCGTTCTGATACTGTATAAAGGAGGTTCTGGGGTAAGGGAGGAGGTAGTCTTGCTCCCACTGGTGCAAGATTGGGCACTGCACTTGTCCCAGGCTGGTCACGACTGTTTATCAAGCTTGACTGTGATATGGGTGGTCTTGGTATGGGAAGCACAACAGAAGGTGGAGGTTGACCATGTCCTTGTGGAACAGGAAGTCTGGCCCTGGCATTGGAGGCATTAACATTCCAGGAGGTGGTGGAGGAGGAAGCCCAGGAGGAGGGGGTGGGAAAGGAATCATACTTGGCAGAGCAACTTCATCAACAACTAGAGGATCATTTCCATGATCAAACTGACAAAGGTCCCCCAGTACACAAAATCCTCTTTCATCATAATCTCTGCATCGCCTCTTTGGTGGTGGGTTTCGACCAAAAGAATTGGAAGAGCTATGATTGTTATAATAATTAGACCAACTCTCAGTTGTGTTTTCAGAATGGTGAGCAGGTGCAATCACAGTAACAGTGCTGGGAATAGATTGTGCCCCAGAGGAATACTGCTCAGAAGAGTTTGGAGGTGGTGCAGACACAGGCACATAAGAACTCTCCAGGTCATTCCTTTCACTCTTAAACTTTGATCTTTCCCTGTGTTCAACATTCCTATTTGGATCCCGGTCTTTGCTGCGCCCCCTACTTCGGCTTCTACTTCGACTCAGGCCTCGGCTCTTACTCCGGCTCTTACTCCTGCCTCTTCTCCAGTCATACTTCTCACGGTATAATTCATTCCGTTCATAGTACCGGTCATAGTCCCTCCACTTGCCATCTTCTCTTTTTTTCTCATGTGTCCTTCGTTCACTAGATTCTGAACGAGTCTTCTGGGGACTAGGATATTTCTTTTTTCTGCCATCTCGCTCTTCCTCTGCTGGTTCCTGAAAAACCTCTTCTTTAATTTCTTCCTTTTCTTGGACTAGTGGTTTTGGTTCAGGTTTAACTGGTTCCAAAGGTGGAAGGTAGTTCTTAGTATAGAGACTTTCAAATAATTTGTCCACAAAACCTGAAGTTTCTTTTTGTAAAAAGACATCAAGTTGATCAGCACAAAAGGCTTTCAATTCTTTCTCAGATTTGTCCTTCTTGACCAGTGCTACAACATAGTTGGCTAAGGCTGATGGGTCAGCATCACATATCGGCTCCAGTAACTTGGCCAGCCAGGACTTGAGGGCATCCACATCCTCTATGAGCATGGTGCAGGGAAGGCGGGCTCGGCCGCCGCTCTTCTTCAGGCCTGCCGTGGGTCTCCACTCGCCGCCTCCTCACGCTCCCTTCACAACCCCCAGTATCTTAGCCCACCGGGCATCTTACGAGACTTCAACCTACTCCCCTGGCTGGGGCCTAACAGGAACTAACCCAAGAGCCCTCACTCAACCTCCAAATGTTGTCTTTCATATGTGAAAGCTAGAGTAAATAAAAGAAAGGGGCAGGGAAGGATAGCATAATATAAATAACCAATCAAATAAAAAATCGATGAGTGCAAAGAAAATTGAGTAGAGGAAGAATGGGAGAGGAGGGAGGACAGGAAGGCAAAAGGGGGGATCATGAACTGAAATTGATTTCCATGCAGGTATGAGTTTGTCAGGATGAACCTAACAACTATGTATAACTATAAAGCTCCAATAAAAAAATATTTAATGAGCAGTGGTGCACACCCAGAGGCTCTGGAAGCTGAGGCAGGAGGATCATGAGTTCAAAGCCAACCTCAGCAAAAGCAAGGCACTTAACAACTCAATGAGACCCTGTCTCTAAATAAAATACAAAAAAATAGGGCTGGGGATGTGGTTCAGTGGTCAAGTGCTCCTTAGTTCAGTCCCTGGTACCCACCCCCGCAAGATTAATAACATAAAGAAACTATAACATGAAAAAACAAAGGAGATTACAAAACATTAGAATGGGTGTCCATGGTCAGAAAGAAAAGGGTAAAAAACAATGTAGGTGGCAGGATTAAGAATGATTTAAGGGGCTGGGGTGTAGACAGTGGTAGAGCATTTGCCTAGCATGTGTGAGGCACCAGGTTCAATCCTCAACATATAAAAATAAGTAAAATAAAGGTATAAGAAATACAATAACAAAAAAAGAATTTTAAAAGAGAATGATTTAAAATTCAAACTTTATGGTGACTGTGGAAAAGTCAAAAAAGTATGCAAAAGCATGCAATGCTTCTTAAGCAGAAAAAAGTTAATGTGTTAAAAAGTCAAATCACATATATACCACAAATTTTCATATCTCTGTTTGTATATAAGGTATGTTGAAATTGCAATACAAAAACAAGAGTACATGTATAATGGCATAAGTTGGCATGAATATACTGTATGTACAGAAATATGAAAAATAGTGCTCTATATGTGTAATAAGGATTGTAATGAAAAATAAATAAAAAATAAAGTACCAATTAAGAACAACAACAACAAAAAAAGTCAAATCAACTAATGCATGCAGGAGACTGATCTGAAATATGATAGCACTGCATCTTGGCCTCAGAGGGAATCTGCTAAAATAGAAGATATGTGTATGATGACATCAGTTGTACAGTTGTCCTGGGCTGCTTCTTGGTACAAAGATCTCCAGCTAGGAGGACCTCTTGCTGAACAGAGAATCTAGGCAAAAAGGAAAAAGAGGAGAGAGAAAGAAAAGCAAAAGGTGGGAAGGGCTGGACATGCTGCCCATTTAGGAGGAAGGCCCAAAGGTGTTAAACTGCAGGGTCAGCAAGTGGGTTGGCAGGCACTAGAATGAGTAAATCATTACCTATGCACATCAGGGCTGGAATGAGTGTCTACAGCTGCTGTGCAGAGGGACACACCTGATGCACTTCTTCTTTTTTTTTTTTTTATAACAAAAAAACCTTTATTTTCAATATCAGGTTGTCAGCCAGATTTAGTTCAAGGGCTAAAGTTGTTGAATTTGGAGTAAGCATTGCCAGGATTCCTTTTTGTTCAGAATTCAATTCAAATAGCATTATCTTGGGTTAAACCACCCAATCTAAAGTAACTACGCATTTGCTTTACTTGCTTTGAAACCTTCCCATTTTAATGATCTCCATTGCACCTATCACCAACTGGTATTTTCTTACTTATTGGCTTATCCTCACTCCTACACACACACACAAAACAATAACTAACATTTACTAAGATCTTTTTTTCTTCTTAATATCTCTTTTTCAAAATTTTTAATTCTAATTTGTTGTATAAGACTCCTATAGCACAATAATTAAAATCAAGAATCAATAAATGGGATGGATTCAAACTCAAAAGCTTCTTGGCAAAAACAAAACAAAACAAAAAAACAGCGAGGTGAATAGAGAGCCTACATCTCGGGAGCATATTTTTTACCACTCGTACATCAGAGAGAGCACTAATCTCTAGGGTATATAAAGAACTCAAAAAGCTAAACACCAAAAAAAAAAATAATAACCCAATCAATAAATGGGCCAATGACCTGAACAGACACTTCTCAGAAGATTATATATAATCAATCAACAAACATATAAAAAAGTTCATCATCTCTAGCAATTAGAGAAATGCAAATCAAAACTACTCTAAGATTTCATCTCACTCCAGTCAGAAAGACAGCTAATAAGAACACAAACAACAATAAGTGTAAGGATGTGGGGGGAAAGGCACACTCATACATTGCTGGTGGGACTGCAAATTGGCGCAGCCAATATGGAGATTCCTTGGAAAGCTGGGAATGGAACCACCATTTAACCCAACTATCCCACTCCTGGTCTATACCCAAAGGACTTAAAAACAGCATACTACAAAGGCACAGCCACACCAATATTTATAGCAGCACAATTCACAATAACTAAACTGTGGAACCAACCTAGATGCCCGTCAGTAGATGAATGGATAAAGAAAATGTGGTATATATACACAATGGAATATTACTCAGCAATAAAAGAGAAAAAAATCATGGCACTTGCAGGTAAATGGATGGCGTTGGAGAAGATAATGCTACATGAAGTTAGCCAATCCCCAAAACCCAAATGACGAATGTTTTCTCTGATATAAGGAGGCTGATTCATAATAGTGGGGTAGGGAAGGGGAGCATGAGAGGATTAGAAGAACTCTAGGTAGAGCAAAGGGGTGGAGGGGAAGGGAGCGGGCAGGAGGTAAAAAAGATGGTGGAATGAAATGGGCATCATTAACCTGAGTACATGTATGAAGACACGGATGGTGTAAATATACTTTATATACAACCAGAAATATGAGAAATTGTGCTCTACATGGTGCACTTCCTTTTCATTACTGCCTCTATCCTTCCAGATGCCTTAAATCATTTCCCCTTCAACACAGTCATTCTGTGCTTAGAGTTGTTTGTTTTGGTTCCCCAGAGATCCAGGAACAGATTCCAATTCTTTGGTAGGTCAAGTTCACTTTCACTTCCAAGTTGGTGACCTCCACAGGCTTCTTTGGAGGATTCATATCAGGGCCTAGGAACTGATTTCGTTGGCTCCTTGGCCTTTGGGTAAATTGTAAATAATTTTCCTCTTGAGGAAAACCATAACACCAGAGAAATATTCAGAGTTATGCATCTGTTGGTGGGATTTCAGATCCGAAATTTTCATGTTGATAAGTAATGTTAATAAATGGTTCTAATTCAAGTCAATTCCATGTGTGAGTGGGTAGTTGGGGCTTAACTAAATGCATATTCTCTTTTCAGATGGTGTCTGAGTTGAGAGAGCATCTTTTGAGACACCTACAAGGTGTAGAAAAGAAGAAAATTGAACAGATGGTTTTGGACTACGTTTCAAAACTGGTTGGATTTACTTTTTCTTACTTCCATCTCATTCCCTACCCCTGTATATAAATCTCAGGATATAGTTCAGTGAGCATATTTGTGTCTTTCAAATTAGATTTTAGAAGATATCCCATCTTTAAACCAGTATATTTGGTGCTAAAGACTGAGGAAAGGGAAATAAGAACAATAAACAATGAGAAGTTGGTTTTGAAAGTGATTTACTGCCCTCCCTTCAGCTAGTGGTCATGTACTTCAAGAGGCATAGAACAATGAATTTAGGAAGGTTGCCAAATGTTCACTCATCTTGGCAACTCCCAGCTCCTTATTAAACACTAACTAGTGATTTCTGTGCCTGGAGATTTATGCAGACATGAGAGAACCTGAACTTCAGTTCTTAATTAGCTCCAACAGCCCTACTAGGTCAGATTCCAGCTTAGTTGCATAAATACTACCAAGGGTGAGCTTGCTGATGAGATGGCAGTGCATTACCTGGTAGCCATGTATTGAAATTGTGTAATACAAGTTAATAACACTAGTTCATTTGTAAATAGAAATGATGTGACAAGATCGAATTAACTTAAGGTACCTTGGGTCTTCCAAAAAGCACATAAAGTTAAGTCTGGTTCTGTTTAGAGTACAGAAATAATATCCTTTGACAAATTAAAAAATATATTTATAGAGAAAGAGAAAGAATGCTTCATTATTTTTCCAAGTTTGGATAAGACCTCTATACAAAAGAGCCCATGTGTAAACATTTTTGCAGTGAGCTCTGGAAGAGTCATTAAGTTTATCAGATCTGGCTGATTTAATCTCTTCAAGTTTAATTTTAAGATTTTTCACCTTATTATAATCGTTAATCTGTCTTTAAATATCATGTTTGAATTTCTATAGAAAGATTTGAGTTTCACTTTTTTAAGTTTCATAATTTTTAATGTTTTAGGAGATATTAGGCATTCTCATATTCTGATATTTACAAATGAGGAATTGAATTTCCCCTAAATAATTTTCCTTCTCAGTAAAACGATAGCAAGGGGGCTCACTTCATGAAAATGATATTGATCTTACTCATGTTGATGTTCACTTGCTTTCCTAGAAAGTCTGCTATCTTATAACACAATTATTTAGCATCCATTTATCACCCTTCTTTCTGTTGACTTTAAATTTCACCTTCCAAACTATTCTAGTTTGCATTAATTATTGCTAGAATTAGTAGGCCCGGATATGATATATATGTAGACTCAGAAATCTCAGTGTCCCTGACTTCCTAAATCTGCAATCACTGAGGCCAAATCTCCCTGCCCTTACCCAGCAGCAACCAGCCATACCTCCTCTTCTCCTCTGAGGACGACTGGGTAGTTTTTCTAAAATATATCAAGGACATTGCAGCAGCACTTGATTGTTGTTTACATGTTATCTTGATTTCAGCCGAAGAAATCACTAGCGATAGTGTGTGCCTGTACTTCTATGGAGATTTTCTGACTTGTTCCTTTTCTTAGCCTGCATGTGCGATGCACCAATCCATGGCTGACATCACTGGAGACTGCCCTACTGCTGACAAGCTTGCTGCAAAATTAGAATAGGTTTCTGAGTAGAGCTCTAAGACAAAGAAGGTTATCTACTTTGGTTGATTACAATTACGATGTATTAACCATAAATGGTGCTAATTCTTACAATAGCTCTGCTAAATAATAATTCATTTTGCAGATGAGGACACTGAGATTTGGGGAGGAAAGGTAACTTGCCTAGGGTTACACAGATGGTGAAATACAGAACCTGGACTTGATATTAGTCTCCCACAGCTCATGCTCACACCTCTATTCTACTATGTTTTCTTTCTTTGGCTTTTAGCTCTTGGGCCTTGTGGTGTAACAGGCCTAGAGCAAACTGAGTGACACTTGACCTTCACTGATGGGTCTGTAAGTGTGAATGGTGGGGCCAGTTTGCCAAGCTGGGGAGGCTCACTGGGGGCACTTCCTGCACAGACAGAGTGTGCTCTGTTAGGCTCTGGGAAGCATTTTCAATCTTTCTGTTTTGGATTCCTCTGCCTCAGAATTGACCTCAGAAAAGCTGGTTCTGTGTCAGGGCACAGTGTGAATGCCAGATGTCAGAGCTGTGTAGGGACAGCCAGAGGGGCCTGGGGGAAAGCATGTGAGCAGTTGGTGAACACCCTTTTCTGCCCTCTAGCTGGATCTCATTTGCCACCTAGTGGAAACCTGCTGGAGGAGGCATGATCTTCAGTCTTCTGTTCTCCACTTGTACGCAAGTATTTCCCACTGTCCTTTATCATGATGAACAAACAGGCAACAACTTTGATGGCTACCTATTCTAGCACAGCCTTTTTGAAACTTCCTAGTTCAAAGCAATTCTCACCAATCCCCGCCCCATCAATTCAGCATTTAAATTTACATTAGCCATCCTCTTTCTCTGGCATGGTTGATGAAGAGGGAGAGACACAGGATTACTGCTATGAAGGGGGAATTTCAGTTAATACAATTTATAATTTATGAGCCTACTGTCTGGTTAGATTCTAGGCCTTTGGTTGATGGTCATTGTCATATTTATGAAGCTTTCTGCAGGGCCTAGCATTTCACAATTAGCAGATCCCCTGTGTGATACTCGGAGCCACTGCTTGGGGCAGATGGGACTTTAGGCCTGCTGACATGCTGCTTTGTTATCTTTTCCCAGCAATAGGCCTCGAAGTGCTGCTGAATTTGAAGTCTTTCACATCATGACCAGGATTTTGGAAGCTACTAACAGTTTATTTTTACCTCTGCCTCCTGGTAAGTCTGGGTTCTTTTGTCCTTTGGTGTAATAAATTTGTTCTTTCTTTTTCACCTGGTCCCCAGACATTGGCACATTGTGAATTTCATGATAACTGTTAGAAATTGTGTGTCTCACAGTGTGTCACTGTGAGAGATTGGCATTGAGGTTGGTCTCTGCTGGCCAGACCTACCCTGGCTACTCAACTGTGCTGTAGCTTGTGACTACCTTCAAGAAGAAGACTTGACCCTGTGCAATTTTCTAGGGAAATTTGAATCAGTGGGACTGAACCAGGGAGCCCTTTCTCTGAGGTTTTCAGAACTTGTTTATCTGATGGAGATGTCTGGAGGTTCCCCCTTGAGAGGAAGTGATTCTGTGCCAAGAATTAAGCTGATTCTTGAGTGACTGGAAACTAAGTGTTTCCCTTAGAATTTTGAAACAGGACCAAGTCAGGCTTCAAAACACCCTTAGGATATGCGAATGCAATCCATTCATTTAAGTGGTCATTTGTTCATTTAGTCAGCAAACATTTGTAGAGCACATTTCATGCCAGGTAATCTTAGAAATTAGAACAGTTACAAAGATTATAAAGAATCTAGTTAAGATGTATATATAAATCAGTATCCATAATAAGAAATGAATAAGTTCCTATTTGCTATGAACTGCCTTGTGTTTGTTATGTTACTTTTTTAATAGTGAGAACACCTAACATGACATTTACCCTCTTAGTAGATTTTTAAACATGCAATACAATATTAACCATAGGCACAGTGTTCTAGCTCTAAAACTTATTCATCTTACATAACAGAAACATTTTAAACCTGTTGAAGAGCATTTCCTCTTTCTCCATCTCCCAGCCCCTGGCAATCACCTTTCTATTCTGTTTCTATGAGTTTGACTATTTTAGATGCTTCATGTAAGTGGAATCATGAAGCATTTGTCTTTGTAACAGACTTATTTCAACCAGTACGAAGCCCTCTAAAAGGTTCACCCAGGTGTTCGTCCTGTGTAAGGCAGGATCTCTTTCCTTTTAAGACTGAACAGTATTATGTTTATATTCTTCATTTTTAAAATCCATTTATCTGTCAGTGGAACTTCATGTTGTATTCATACTTTGACTATTATGGATAATGTGGCAATGAGCATGTGCAGATCTTTTTAAGATCTTGATTTCAATTCTTTTGGATATATATTCAAAAGTGGGATTACTGAATTATATGGTAGTTCTGTTTTAATTTTTTTTAAATGTAGGATTGTTTTTCTTTACCTTTGTTTATTTTTATGTGGTGCCGGGGATCGAACCCAGTGCCTCACGCATGCTAGGCAAGTGCTCTACCACTGAGCTACAACCCCGGGCCCCCTGTTTTAATTTTTTTTTTTGCAAAACCTACACACTATTTTTTAGGATCTGCACCATTTTACATTCCCACCAACAGGGTAAAAGGGTTCTCCACATTCTTACCAACTTTTTCAGTGCTGTGACTGAAAGATCTGAAGAGAACAATCAGAGTAGGAAAAGTTTATTTTGGGGCTCATGGCTTCAGAGATTTCAGTCCTCAGATGGCAGCTCCACTTCTTGGGGCTTGAGGTGAAACAACAGCATAGCAGAAGAGTGTGGTGGAGGACAGTGGCTCAGGACATGTTATCATGAAGCAGAGAGCCACCTATCCTCTCCATGGACAAAATATAAATACTAAAGGCATGCCCAGTGACCCTCCTCCTATAGCCACTTCCTATCTGCCAACAGTTACCACCCAGTTAATTCCTATTAGGGGATTAATGTATTGATTACATTAAGGCTCTCATGACCCAATCATTTCACCTCTAAGCTTTCTTGCATTGTCTCATAAGCTTTCAAGAGAACACTTCACATCTAAACCATAACACCAACACTTTTTTTCTTGTGTTTGTTATGGTTGCCTAAGAGGTGTGAGGTAATGTCTTACTGTGGCTTTAATTTATATTTGCCTGATGATTAGTTATATTGAGCATCTTTGGCCATTTGTTTGTCATCTTTGGAAAAAATGTTCAAGTTCCTTGCCCACTTTTTAATTAGGCTGTCTTTTTGCTTCTGAGTTGTTTGAGGTTTTTTATATGCTCTGGATATTAACCCCTTACAGGATATAAGGTTTGCAAGTACTTTCTCCCATTTAGTGGGTTATAATTATACAAATTAATTGGTTTCATTGTGGCATTTCCATACATGCATATTTTGAGCTTTGATCATGTCCACCTCCCTTCTCCTACCTCTCTTCCCCCACCCCTTCCTGGTCCCTAGTAGTCTTTTTTTTTTTCTTTTTAGTTTCTACATATGAGAGAAAACATGCAATACTTGTCTTTTTGTTCCTGGATTATTTCTGATGTTTTCCAACTTTATCCATTTTCCTTCAAATTATAAGATTTTGTTCTTCTTTAGGACTGAATGATAATCCATTACATATAATAAACCATATTTTCTTTATCCATTTATCTGTTGATGAGCACATAGGCTGATTCCATATCTTGGCTATTGTGAATAGTGCTACAGAAGGCATGGACATGCAGTTAATCTCTTTTGTATGCTGACTTCATTTGCTTTAGATCAAAACCTAGGAGTGGTATAGCTGTTCTTTGAGGAAATTCCATACTGCTTTCCTTAGTGGCTATTACTAATCTGTGTTCCCATCAACAATATATGAGGGTTTCTTTTTCTTTAAAACTTTGCCAGCAGTTGCTACTTTTGTTTTCATAATAGTCATTCCAACTGGGTTGAGACAGAGCCTCAATGTAGTTTTGATTTGCATTTCCTTGATGGCTAGAGACACTGAACATATATATATTTTTTCAGATATTGGCCATTTCTACTTACTCTTTTGTGAAGTATCTATTCAGATCACTTGCCCATTTATGAATTTGTTTTGTTGTTTCTTTTTTATTCTTTTTAATATGTATTCTAAATATTAATCCTCCATGAGATGAATAGCTGGAAAATATTTTCTCCATTCTGTAGGTTGTCTCTTCACTCTGTTATTTCCTCTGCTGTGCAGAAGGATTTTAATTTGATGAAGTTCCATTTGTTAATTCTTGTTCTTTTTTTCCTGGGTTATTTGAGTCCTGTCCAAGAAATGATTGCTTGTGCAAATATCTTGGAGTGCTTCCCATGTTTTTCTTCTAGTAGTTTCGAAATTTCAGATTTTACATTAACGTATTTGATCCATTTTGAATTGATTTTTGTACTGGGTGAGAGAGATGGTTCTAGTTTCAATCTGCAATCTTCCAGTTTTCCCAGTACCATTCATTGAAGAGGCTGTCTTTTCTCCAATGTATGTTTTTGGTTCCTTTTGTCAAGAATCAATTGATCAATTGGTTGAAGATGCATGCATTTATTTCTGGGCCCTCTATTCTATCCTTTTGGTCTGTTTTGTTATTATGTGTTATGGTTTGAATATGAAGTATTCCCACAAAGCTTTTTTCTTGTAACAAGGATTGAACCCAGGGGTGCTTAACCACTGAGCAACGTCTCCAGCCCTTTAAAAAATATTTTATTTAGAGACAGAGTCTCACTGGGTTACTTAAGGCCTTGCTAAGTTGCTGAGGCTGATTTTGAACTCATGATCCCCCTGCCTCAGCCTCCAGAGCTGCTGGGAATATAGGTGTGTGCCATTGAGCCTGGCCCCCAAAGCTCTTGAGATGATGCAGAAATAATCTGAGGTGACATGCTTCGATTTTAAGAGCTGTGACCTAATCGGTGGATTCATCCATTTGACGTATTACTTTGAAAGGACTACTGTATTGGGTGATAACTGTAGGCAAGTAGGGTGTGGCTGGATGAAGGAGGTCTCTGAGGGCATGCATTTGGGGTTTCTATTTTGTCCCTGGCATCTTGCTTTCTATTTCCTAGATGCTATGAGTTGAGACTTCCCTACCATGCCTTTCTGCCATGATGTTCTGCCTCATCTTGGGCCCAGAGTAATAGAGTCAGCTGACCATGGACCAAACCTCTGAAGTTGTGAGCCTAAAATAAACTTCTTCTCTATATTGTTCTTGTTGGGTCTTTTGATCACAGTGACCCAAAGCTGATTAACACACTATGGCTCTGTAGTATATTTTGAAATTAAGTATTATGATGCCTCTAACATTGTTATTTTTGCTCAGGATTGCTTTGGCTATTTGGGATTTTTTGTGTTTCTATAGATTTTAGGATTCCCCCCCCCACCCCACCAGTTCTATGAAGAACATGGGGATTGCATTCAATCTGTAGATTGCTTGGTTCATATAGCCACTGAACAATATGAATTCTCTCAATCTATTAACATGGGAGGTCTTTGCACCATCTATTGTTCAATTTCTTTCTTTAGTGGTTTGTGATTTTCATTGCAGAGGTCTTTCATAGCCTTAGTTAGGTTCATTCCTAGGTATACTATTTTTTTATTGGCTATTGAGATTGCTTTCCTCATTTCTCAGTTTATTATTGGCATATAGTAAAGCTACTGATTTTCATATGTTGATTTTTGTATCTTTCTACTTTACTGAGTTTATCAGTTCTGAAAATCTTCTGATGAGGTCTTTAGGATTTATTATGTATATAATCAAATCATCTGCAAATTTGACTTCCTCCTTTCCTATTATATGCTTTTAATTTCTTTCTCTAGTTTATTTTCTCTGGCTAGAATTTCTAGCACTATATTGAATAAGTCTGTGTGTGTGTCCTCTGTCAGGTTTTGGTAGCAGGTGTTTTGGTGCTGTGTGTCTTTTACTTTCCACCTCTTCTGTTAGAATCCCTTAAGCATCTTCTGTAATGCTGGTCTAGTGGTCACAGATTCCCTCATTTTATGTTTATCTTGGAAGGTCATTAGTTTTCCTCCGATTCTGAGGGATAACTTTGATGGGTATCATAATTTGGACTAGTAGTTATTTTCCTTTAGGACTTGAATTACATTATTATATGTCCTCCTGGTCTTTAGCATTTCTTCTCAGAAATATGCTGTTAGTCTAATGGGTTTGCTTTTAAATGTGACTTCTCTTTCAGCTTTAACACTCT